AAATCTATCATTTTAAAAGTCTACAAAAGTCATGATTGAATACACCCCCTTTAGCTTATAAGAGTTATTTTTGTTCATTAAGGAGTATTTAAATGAATTTACAAATAAAACAAAGTTAGTGTCCAATACTTTTAACTTAAAATTTAGAGTAAATATCCAAAATGGTCCCTCAACTATAGCTAAATTCACAAATTGGTCTTCGACTTTTAATTTCAACCAATTAAGTCCTTAACTTTGTAATTTTAACACGATTTGATCCTCTGTCTATTTGACCGTTTGTTGACCGTGATCTCTGAAGATATATATGTAATTTCATGGTTCATCGTCGATTTTTTAAGGTTCCGGTTATATTTCCATACTGCACTGTTACATTTGAATCCATTGCCGAAAGCAATATGCCAAATCATGTCGCCTTTCTTCATCCTCCCTTTGGATTCAATGTAGTTAAGTTCGTACCAGACCGAAGAAGATGACGTGTTTTCGAACCACAATCTGCCAAGTCCACGTGCTCCGAAAAGAGTTGCAGGTTCTTATGGAAATTGTCGATGACGACGCGGCCACATGCGTTGATGCAGAAGTGTTCGAAGGCTTGTTTGAAGTCTGGAATGTAGAGTTTCCATTTGGGATTGAAGATTTTTCGACTGACTCCATGGACCATGAAATTACATATATATTCTCAAAGATCACGATCAACAAACGGTTAAATAGACGGAGGACTAAATCGTGTTAAAATATCAAAGTTAAGGACTTAATTGGTTGAAATTGAAAGTCAATGACCAATTTGTGAATTTAGCTATAGTCGAAGGACCATTTTGAGTATTTACTCTAAAATTTATTTTTCACTTATTTGATGTGTGCTTTGAGAGAAAGGTGATGAATTCACATATTTTATCATTCTATCACCGTTAATTATAATTATTATTTGAGGTGATGTACTAAAATAGCTACCAAACAAACATGTACTACCTGTGAAAGGTTGTCAGCATTGCATATCTGCATATACTGCTCGTGATTGTCAAATCCAACCTGATCCTTCAATATTCTCTTTTCGGACCACAAATTTTTGTTAACCAATAACCCTTTAAACTTTCAAATCTTAATAAAACATTTATGATTACATGTAAATTTTTTTAAATACCATTTTTCCATCTTTTAAATTTATCTCAACATGTTTACCTCTAAATGTGACAATAAAATTTCTTGTATTTATTAATTGTACATGAGTTGACGACACCTAAGTTACAAATAATTTATTCAGTAATCAAATACAAAAAAAAAAAAAAAACAAATATTATTCCCTTCGTCCCATTTTATGTGTTGGATTCGATTAGTGATGCTTGACTGAAGTTATTTACAATTTAATTTTTCATAATATTAAGTTTAAAATTAGTATGTAAATTTTATATAATTATAAACTACATTAAAAGTACTATTAAACGTAACAAAATCAAATTACAAAATTATAAGAAAATGCTAATAGAAATAAGTAAATAAAAAATAGTCAGTTTGACCAATGAATAGTAAGTAGGTCATATAAAATGTGAGAGATGGAGTATAAAATAAATTTATAATTATAATCTCTAAATTAAAATGGAATCATAATAAACAAAGAGCAAGCAATGACAATCAAAGGTAAGAAATTGTCATATCTATATCCGTTAGATCTTTTAAACAACAACAAAAATAATAATAATAATAATAATAAAAAAAATAAAATCACTTCTACCCAAATTTGCTAAATTTTTATTTTTCTAGTTTCCATTCTTTACATTTTGTTTTCAAATGGAAGAATGTAACCTCCAGAGATAACTCAATGGTCGAAAGTCTGGGTGTGGTGTAATGCCCAAGCATATACCCAAGGTTGAATCATGCAAGAGGTAGGACTCCTGGGAAAACGCAACACACAAATCATTGGCTATGTTTGACAAACATAGCTGAAAAGGTAACTGAAAGCTTAAAAGGGGTTGAAAAGCAAGCTAGGAGCTGAAAACTGAAGAGTTGTTAAGCTAGTTGTTATGCTTGAAAGTATTTGGTAAAATTAGTTTTTTGATAAGCTGATGAATTTAAAAAGACAAAAAATGGCATATTCATACAATTTAAATTAGTTTGTTTACATATTAAAAAAACATTTTGTCTAAAAAAAATATTTTGAAATAAAATTATTAGCATAATCATGATCTAGCATCCTATAATGAAGTAACAATATTGTTGCGAATCTCCTTAATATAATAATAATAATAATAATAATAATAATAATAATAATAATAATAATAATAATAATAATAATTGCGGTGAAAGTTGCGGAAAAAAAGTTAAGAAGCCTCTTATTTTAAGCTACGAGCTTATTTTGGTAACATTACCGAACATAACTTATAGCTTAAAATAAGTTATAAGCTCCTAAATAAGCTCTATCGAACAGACTCTCGTTGTCTCACCGAGGCAAACCTTTACCCACATAACTTAGGATAGGGCCAGAGGGAGCTTAAGTTTGATGTTCAAACTTAAACCAAATGATGTGCAATAAACCTTTTTTTTTCTCTACTTTTCTATTTTTCAAAAAACAAAAAAGAGTTTATATATATATATATATATATATATATATATATATATATATATAGGGAAGGGATCAGGTGCATTTGTTGCTTCCCGTGCGGATGTGCGGTGAATTAATGTGCGTGAGGTTTATACTTAATGTGCGTGAGATTTGTACTTAATGTGTGTCATGTTAATATACGTGAGTTTTGTACTTAATGTGCCGGAGTATTGTGTTTAATGTGCGTGAGATTTGTGCTTAATGTGCGTGTGTATTTCAAAATTACGAGCTCAGAAGGAAGCAGAACAGAAACTTACGCACATTAACGCTCAAGCTTCTTGTTACTTCTTCCTTCAATTTGACCATGGATTCTGGATTATCAGCTACCTTCAGTGCAGTTGAATGTTTAACCACCATAGCTCGCATCTGCATCATCATCATCAGGGAGGGGGCAAATGGCTACTGGGATGGGGAAGAAGCTGACATCAATATTTTCTGCTGCATTTTACACATTCACGCACATTAAGTACAAATCACAGGCACATTAAGCACAACACTCACGCACATTGAGTACAAATCTCACGCACATTAATCCACCGCACATCCGCACGGGAAGCATTCACCGCACGGGATATATATATATATGTGTGTGTGTGTGTGTGTGTGTGTGTGTGTGTGTGTGTGTGTGTGTGTGTGTGTGTGTGTGTGTGTGTGTGTTATTTTTAAATATTAAGTAACTCTGTCAATTTATTCTTTCAAAATTTCACCTATATGGTCACTTGAGTTGCCCATGCCGGTAACTCTTACCAATTTATGATCACTAATAAATAAAATGAATATTATTATTACACTAATAAAGTGAATATTAAGTGATAAAATCAAGAATTGAAAATAATATTATTCATTAGTTTAATACATTAGCAAAACACAATCCCTGTCACTTATAATAAATAATTATTATATGAGTTAATTCCATTTTTATCCTAGATTTATATGTGACAGTCATTTTTAGTCCCTTTTTATTAGAGCATCCTATTTTGGTCATAGTATTACTGTAACATGACCAATTTTAGTTTTCTATCAACAAAAACATTGAAATTTCGTTAAATAGATGAACATTTTGATCTTTTTGATACAAAGTGCGTTGCCCCGTTATATTTTTTATGTTTATTTTTTTGAAAAAATTCATAATTGAAGAACATAATGTCATTAAATTTAACGAAATTTCAACAATTTTTTGATAAAGGACCAAAATTGGTCATGTCACAATAATACTAAGACCAAAATATGATATTCTAATAAAAATGGACTGCCACCTATAAATCTAGAATAAAAAATAGATTTAACTCTTATTATATATTCTTCTTCTCCCAATAATTATATATTATAGGAATAACGGTCAAATATGCCATACAATTACACAAAAAAATGCAATTAGACCATCGAACTCAAACAATACAATTAGGTCCCTGAACTACGCAAATTAATGCAATTTCACCAAAAAGACTTGTTTACCTGTTGTGTCGGTTTCAGAATTAAAAATAATTTTTAAATTTTTATTTTAATAATTTTAAATAATAAATTATTTTAAAATTAAAAAAAAAAATCCGCCGGAGACGAAGGGGACACTTCGTCTCCGGCCAGCTATGGAGAACCCTTCGTCTCCATGGCTGGCCCTTCGTCTCCAGCGGATTGTTTTTTTTTTTTTTTTAAATAAATTTTTATTTAAAATTATTAAAATAAAAATTAAAAAATTATTTTTAATTTGATAATCGACACGTCAGCGTATCAACAGATAAAAGTTATTTTTGATAAAATTACATGAATTTGTGTTGTCCCTAAACTTAATTGTAACTTTTTTGAGTTGAATGGCCTAATTTAAATAATAAATTATTTTAAAATTAAAAAAAAAAAATCCGCCGGAGACGAAGGGGACACTTCGTCTCCGGCCAGCTATGGAGAACCCTTCGTCTCCATAGCTGGCCCTTCGTCTCCTGGCTGGCCGGAGACGAAGGGGTCCGCTTCGTCTCCGTGGCTGGACGGAAACGAAGGGGACCCCTTCGTCTCCGGCCAGCCAGGAGACGAAGGGTTCTCTATGGTTGGCCGGAGACGAAGGGCCCCCTTCGTCTCCAGCGGATTGTTTTTTTTTTTGTTTTTTTTTTAAATAAATTTTTATTTAAAATTATTAAAATAAAAATTAAAAAATTATTTTTTAATTTGGTAACCGACACGTCAGCGTATCAAGATAAAAGTTATTTTTGATAAAATTACATGAATTTGTGTAGTCCCTGAACTTAATTGTAACTTTTTTGAATTGAATGACCTAATTGCATATTAGTGTGAAGTTGGATAGCCTATTTGATCCTTATTATGGTCTATGGAGCATTAATTATGTATATAATAACGTGGCCACTTGTAATTAACTGAATATAATACGGAGTATATTTTTATCTTATCATTTGTTTACTGTTACTGTTACTCCATCTCTCTTCCTCATCCCTTCCTGGCTTTCTGCTTTGCTTATTAAGTATTACTGTATTATTACTTACAGGTGTTGGATCGTCTGCAGCAATGGAAGACAGCGGTGGCGACGGAACAGCGATGCGTGATAGTAAAACATATTGTGTGACGGGAGGTTCAGGCTTCATAGGATCGTGGCTGATTAAATCTCTCCTCCGCCGGGGCTACGGCGTGCATGCTACCGTTCGCCATCCCGGTGCTTCTCTCTTACTTGATTCTCTTCTTCAACCTCTTTTTATCGCCTTGAGAACGACATAAATCGCCTATTTGCCGCCCTTATTTCTGATCTGCCGAAGCAATTGGACTCTAGATCATATGATTAGATGAAATTGATGCTTCGAACTATGTTTAGTGTGTGAATGTCTGTAATTAATTGATTTCTGTCTCTTAAATGTGCGTTTAGCTAGGTATGATGTCTATCTGTCTAGGTGTTCTTAATCAATTATCAGCTTCTTATTTTGCACTCAAATTTGATCAGAGAAGGCATTGCATTTGTTGAAATTATCGGAGCGGTTGAAACTGTTTAAAGCTGATTTACAGGAAGAGGGGAGCTTCGACGAGGCAATAAGAAGCTGTGATGGAGTGTTCCATGTAGCTGCCTCAATGGAGTTTGGTGTAGAACCAAATCACAATATTGGTAACTTGTTTGAATTGTTAATGCATATGAACAACTACATACGTAGTGGGAAATTCTACTGTGTCTGCTTGCAAATCCACAGCACCTCTAGAAAATGGAGATGCATAACGCGAATAAGCACAATGCACAATGTACTGGTACCGCAGTAGTTCCCATTATGTAGAAGCAAACCAAATGATATATGCTAAAGTGAATTTTTACTTGTTTCATCTTGAAGATAGTTATGTGCAAGAGAATGTGATAGATCCGGCAGCGAAAGGGACGATAAACGTTCTTAAATCTTGCCTGAAAGCGAACTCGGTGAAAAGAGTTATCTTCACATCATCAATCAGTACAATGACTGCCAAAGATAGTTCAGGGAAATGGAGACCTGTAGTGGATGAATCTTGCAACATACCAACAGAACATGTCTGGCATACTAAGCCAAGTGGCTGGGTATGTACTATGTAGTATGTAATGCTCTTTTTGTAAAACTTATATCCTCCAAATGTTGTATCATACCTGAGATAACAAGTCACTTCTGTTTAGGTATATGCACTCTCAAAGGTATTCACCGAAAAGGCTGCAATCAGGTTTGCGAATGAAAATGGTATTGATTTGGTGTCAATAATTACGCCAACAGTGGCTGGTCCCTTCCTCACTCCCACAGTTCCATCAAGCATTCGAATGCTCTTATCCCTAATAACAGGTACTCCATGTTTTCTAAATCTAACACATTTGATTGCATGTTTATGTGACCACAAATAAGGTTTCTGTTTTTCACATTATATTTGGACTGATCTAGGGGATGTGAAGCTGTTACCAATACTAGCTGCCGTGAACTCAAGAATGGGATCAATTGCATTAGTTCACATAGAAGACATATGCTCTGCCCACATATTCCTCATGGAGAATGCTAGAGCAGAAGGACGATATATGTGTTGCACTCATAATTGTTCAATATCTGAACTGATTGCTCAACTAAGCCAAGAATATCCAGTTCCCACTACACACAGGTTCCGATCTCTTCCTTGTTCATTGTTTTCGGAACAACTCACTAGTGACCAACTGATTTTCCCTCGTGTTTCAGCCTCATGATGGAAAAGCATGATTCACAACCCCCAGTGATTTCATCAAAGAAATTAAGGGATCTGGGGTATTCTTTCAAGTATAGTGTCCAAGACATAATACACGACACTCTTCAGAGCTGCAAACAGCAAGGGTTTTTATCTCACACTCAATAGTAAGTATTACCTCTTGCATTATACTAGAAACAATTAGACAGCTCATTTAAATAAAGCTCTGATGACTGCTTGCATAGGTGGTGAAAATGCAAAAAAAAAGAGAAGAGTACAAAAGAAGTGCTTCGTTTCTGATATAAAAAAAGTTGTTTTTCTACTTTCAATTAATCAGTCCGAGGATGAATTATAATGAACAACTAAAGAACAGCCTTTGTGTGTGCCTCAGTGTCTGAAAGAATCAAAATATGTAAGATGTATTATAAAGAACAGCCTTTGTGTGTGTCTCAGTGTCTGAAAGAATCAAAATATGTAAGATGTCAGCGATTTGGGCAGTGAGATTTCAGGGAATCTTCTGTCAGCATCTTGTTGGAACATTTAACAGGCTGCAGTTCACAACTGCTACATGACTTCAAACCCATAAGGCCATAATGGAACTTGATAGTTCCTCCCAGTTTGTCAAGCAAACTTAAAATTTGTTATGGTTTAGGGATTTCTTTTGATGTTTGATCTTGGTTCAGGTTATGGTTTTCCACTGTAGAAGTTGACCATTGTTCAACATGTTTGATCTTGGTTCAGGCTATGGTTTTCCACTGTAGAAGTTGACCGCTGTTCAAAATACTTGATTGACTGTAAGTCTTACCTTGTGCAATATACTGTATTCTCTAACCAGCTTGGTTCACGTGGCTGTATACTCTTGTCCATTAAGATAGATCAGGAGTTTGAACCTCCTCTCATGTGAAAAAATCAATTTGGGCAGCACTTTGCCCTTTAATTGGGGCGGCTCAGTGTGAACGTGATTAGTCTGAATATGGTATGGGCTTAAATGTACCTCCTATAATTAGGATTTGCTCAGGACATCTTGTAGTTTGAAAAATATACCGTATTCTCTCACTGTGAAATGTCTTCACTGTCTGAGTCAAAATTGTCACCATCACTTGTACTAAGAACTTTCAGCACTTCCTAGATGGGTTTTGAGAAGAGATACTCTGTGATTTCACATGGTCCAACAGTCCAAACCCCACACCTAATCTGTTTCAAATTCAAAGGTTTCAGAACAGCTACCTTTCAAAGTTCAAACTTTGAACCCTAGCATTACTATTGCCTTGGAATTTTAGTGGCCAGAAAGAGAACCAAGTCTGACAAGATGATGCCTTGCCATAAACTGATAAACCAGACAACATACATTAAATATTAACTATACTTAAATATAATAGTACATTTAGTTTTAAAGTTTTCATTGGAAAATGACACTCTTTTCATCTGAATTATATGTTTATAGTCATTTTTTTCTTTAATTATTCATGCATCCACATTATTTTCCTCAATAAGGATAAAATAGGTTTTTCAAATCACTTTCCTTCTCCAACAAAGAGTTAATTCCAGCAGAGGTCTTGTCTTTGATAACAATTTCAAATTTAGTTCCAAACTATCATTTATGTCATTTAACACCCCAGACTATCATATTTTGGACACTTTTGGTCATTCGGTGAAACCCTATTTTAAGCAAGAGTATTTTTGTCTCTTCAGTTTTTTTAAAAAAAAATATTTTCTGAAGAAACTTTTTGTTTTGAATGCTACTGGCTCTATTACATTCTCAACCTACTGAAACACAAAGAAGAACCAATAACGTCTCCACTGATGCTCGAACTCACAACCTTCTAAAGGTAAGTCCAATTCGGATACCATTAGACCACATAGTTTTGGTATAAGAGACTTCTTTTAGTTATTTATTTATTTATTTTATTTATTTTATTTTATTTGCTCTACAACTATAGTAAATGATTCACAAAATCATGGACTAAAACCATATTGGTTAGACTGATGTCGACCGGATGGTGACATCCTGAGCTTTTCAATTGTGTTGCAAAATGATTCTCGGTAATCTCGGAGGTCCTTACGTACTCGGTTTCGCCATTGACGAAGGACAATTTGGTGTCGGGTTGAAGGAGATGAAGACAAGAGCCTAATGAAGGAGATGGTGTAATCCACGGTTGAAGAGACGAAAATTTAAAAAAATAAAATTTGCGTATAAAACTGGAAAATTTTTAAAAAAATATTGAAGAGACAAAAATGTGTCTAAAATAGGGTTTCACATGGAAAGTGAACTAAAAATTTCCAAAATATGATAGTAGGGGTTGTTAAATGGCAAAATTAATTTGTTGGGACTAAATTTGAAATTCCTACAAAAAATAAGGAACCTCTATTGGAATTAACTCATTAGGAAAAAAATTGAATCGACGAAAATAGCCTTATCTAAAATAGGATTTCATCAGAAGGACCAAAAGTGTTCCAAATATGATAATCTAGGGTGTTAAAAAGACAAAACGATATATAGTCTGAGATTAAATTTAGAATTGATATCAAAGACAAAGGACCTCCACTAAAATTAAATATTCAACAAATTATTGCTTGTACGTGAAATTAGAATAAATGTAAAAAAGAATAGACATTATTTGTAAATACTAAAATTATGATTTTAAGATATGCTAGTAAAATAATTAAGACTTAAACACAAATTTAGCAATAATGAATTATTTGTGTTTGTTTTAATTCTGTTGCCAGCATTAACTTATAATTATAATATTTACAAATGATTTTTGTTATTTCTCGCATGTATTCTGGTTCTCACATATAAAAAATAATTTGTTAGGGAAGAAAAATAAATGAAATACGGAGTACCTATTTTGTCCTTAGTTTTAACCGGCTAAACGGTCATCTAACATAGAAAGGAGAAAATTGTCTCTTTCAAAATAATTAAGGAGATAATGTGAGTTATAAACATATAATTTAAGAAAGAAAATCGTGAGTTATAAACATATAATTTAAGAGAAAAAGTGCCATTTTTCTAACTTTTTATTTTATTTTTCATTTTTCAATATACGAAGATTACACAATGCCCTCCCTGACAGGTTCGAATACAGGGCTCAGAGCCTTAGATATATTAACTGTTCATACAAGTTCAATGCACCATGCGAATGTTTATGATTCAAATAAAGTATACACCTTGAAAATGCAACTCAGTGAAAACGATAAATAAATAATTAAAAATTAAAAAATAACAGAATCTATCCCATATCTGAAATTTTTGAATTACATGTTGTAATGGAGTTCCAAGAAACAGATGGGCAGCAAAATCAATATATATAAGAGTAAGTTAAAGCTTATGAATGATCAAGGCAAAAACCATATATCAACCTTGCCAGATTTCAATATTGCAATAGAAGTTCTTTGTTTTTTTTGCATGTTACATCCGGTATCTCCATCATTATGAGACTAATTCTCTTCAAGACTTGCAGATCACCACAAAACAAGGAAGGAGGGCTCTAGGATTAAGCGAATAAAGTTCCTCTATATTTGAATAGAGGCCTACTTTCCCAGCCAGTGAATCAAAACCAGTCTGGCCAGCCATTTCTTGTATGTTCTCCAGAGGCCTATGCACTCGACCTGCTATCACTCTGCACACTATCATGGCTTTCCTTTGGCTTTGGCTTTGGCTTTGGGACAGATCATCTCCATGCATCTCTATACATTCAAAGGCTCTCCCACTTGTGGAAGTTGTGAAAACCCCAATCCCACCTTTGAGTTCCTTCTTCGTCGAGAATCCACTTCTTATAATTCGACACACACAGCATTTATCCGATGCACACAGACTGCAACATCCATCCATGCCCAGACAGCATGCCACTGTTGTGCCATAGAACCTCAGTAGCTCATTGCCATCCGCGAGGCACCGAGGGTGTTTCTTCGGGAGTTTACTGGCCTTCATCTTTACCGTCTCCCTGTATTCTTCAAACCTAGCAAGAGTCTTCTGTGTATTGTGAACTTTCAACACTCTTTCAATTCGACCGCATTGGCTCTCTGATTTTACCCAGCTCGACCTACAGATTATCTCAACAATTTTCCTCGACGAGTCGCCCTCCAAAAGTTCAGTCACTGTAAATGGTTTGATAACAATGTAAGTATCTCACAATTCACCAAAATTCTTTACACATTTCTTAAGTTTGAATAGGTATTGATAAAGGAAGAGAACTCTTGATACAGGATATTAAAGAAAAAGATTAAGGAAGGATTCGTCTGCACTGGTAGTTCAGTTGGTTCCTGAGTAGCAGATTGTGAGCAAGGCTACAAGATCGAGTCCCGGCTTGTGGGCACCAAGCACATTTCGCCTTTGGTGGGCAAGATTAAGGAAGGATTCAAATCAAATGAATAGCTATGATGAGGAAGTACCTCAAGACTATGGAATGCAGCCTAGAGAAAATGAGAACCACATAAAAGAGAAAAGAGCAAAAATGATGATATTACTGTGCAGAACCAAAAGGCACTCTCTTTCATGTAAAAAGGTAAAAGCTAGACAACTTAGATGCAAACATTGTGGAGCAGTAAAAGCAGAAAGCAAATAGATTCAGATTGGCAAAAAAAGAAGGAAGCATTAAAGATAAACGGAAGATGGAAAATGGGAAAGCAAACATTGCCTGCATGCTTGGAGAGATGGTGTGCTTCAAGAGCTTCCCACTTCCCAAATTGCTCACCACACTTGTGACATGTGACTACTGAACACCCATTGCTATCTGCCCTACAAGGTTTTGAAGCAAATCCAGACATCTCTTTTTCTCCCAGAAGTGCAGAGGTTCTCCTTGGAGGACTTGCTGGTACTGGGTTCCTATAGGAAGAGTTAAAGTAATGCATTGTAGGGTGTCCACCAGGCCCAGGTGTGCCAGGCCTGAGTGTACCAAGGAATGAGCCACCGCCGTCTCCTCCGCCACCAAGACCGTCGTGGAGGCCACCAAAGCTGGTGATTTTGAGCTCACAGGTAGAATTGCTAAGAATGACTTCATGGGTAATTGGGTTGAGAAAGTCACTGCTTCCTATGGATCTTGGGCTACAAGTTGGGGGCTTTTCCAAGTGTCTCTTGCTCCCATGGATCACATCTCTGAGATTTGCTATTGACCTTGAACACCCAGACCTCCTCCCTGCTGCTTTCCTAGTCAAAATTGTGCCCAACTGTTTCTTGGTCTTTGGTTCATGCACTTCTGATGGCTCTGTCTTACAATGCAGAGATCTCTTCAAAGAAAACCAAACTGCAGGCATATTCTTCTTCTCCCCCATTCACCAACACAACACTAGATAACACTATTTCTTTCTTTCAGACCTTCATTATCCTCCAAAAAGATACACTACTTTACTTTACCGCTTTTCCTCAAACACCTTTCCTGCAAAACCTCATCACCCATTACCTCTCCTTTCCACCATGAAGCATCAAAACCAAGGAGACTTCATTCTTCAACAACTCTCTGTTAACCTATGATTTTATAATCATTCTGTGGAATCAAGCATGAGAGAAAAATGGAGTTATGGATAGAAGATTTAGAGGCCCGAAGTACGAAAAAGGACGAAGATATTGAAACTGAAGAAAAAGTAGAATCTTTTCTGGTTTCAGTAGGGCTGTGAGGAAGAAGACAAGCAAGCCTGTATAGTATAGCAGCTAAGAGATGAGATTGGGTGTGAGTGAATGCCCGGTTAACAGTTACACGGTGAATTGAAATGAGTCTGACACATACCTCATTTGAATTGAATATAGTTTTGAATTGAATGAGAATCACAATTCACACGTCTCTACTGATAATGTTTTTTACAGTCCTACAATTAACACAAATCTCATGTACTCATGCTCCATGCCCAAATTTTGCGTGATTTTATTTACTGCAATTATTATATTTTCACACATTTCTTTTTGAAAATCAATTTTCATTTAAAAAAAAAAAAACTAAAAAAACTACTCCACAGCCACTATCGTTTTAGAACGAGCAAATGTCATATGAGATCCTCCGAATATACTGATTTTGATATGCTTAGTCTTAAACTTTTAAATTGGTGATCATTCGACTTTCAAATTATTATCATTTATGGTCCAAGTTTACCATTCATAGTCCTTCAACTATCAAATTTTAACTTTCCATATGGTCCTTCCAGGAAAATCACAACTAGTTAAAATTTGAAAGTTGAAGAACCATGAGTGGTTAACTTGGACCATGAATGGTAACAATTTGAAAGTTGAAGGATCACAGTACTCAATTTAAAAATTTAGGACTAAACGTGACAAAATTATTATACTCGGAGAACCTCACGTGGCATGCATTAACTCTTTTAGAACTTATAATTTATTTATATTATAAATAAGTAGGTTAAAATAAATGTTTATCTAAACTTATTTCCACTCTTATAATATGTTTGATAGAGAGGAATTACAGTTCCTTTCTCACTTAGAAGTGACAAATTTTATAGTTCAATGGAAATGAATTATAATAATTCTATAAAATTACAATTTGTCAAATTTGAGGAATTGCAAATCTCACATCCCTTTAAGATTTGCAATTTCATGATATTAATTAGAGTGTGAGGAGTGAGGACTAAATGACCCCTCTCTAATAATCATGCATCTTCTCCTAGAAATTATATATGATTTCATGGATATTTTAATCTTTATACTACTTATTTCATTTTGAATTTTTATGTAAACAAAACGTTATAATAAAAATTCCTAATAGTTATATTTTCACCAACCAAAGAATAAGAATTAAATTTCTACTATATTCCAACATTATTCATTACACATAAATTTGTAATTCTTTTCGCGAATAATTCATTCAACCAAACACCCAATATTGTTGTTGAAATAGACTTTCACTTTTCATGCATGTAAATAAATTATTTCTCACGCAGACATACTTAAAAAAGTGTTGTTTAATAGATTTTTAGTATTAGGTATATATTATATAGTATGATATTTTTCCTTATTTATTTAATTATTTCTTATAGATGTCAATTCATATGATTATATTTCTTTTATATATGTGGATGTATGTATACTATATAATTTATGTATCTATTTTCTCCTAGAAAGTTGAATCTACAGACCGCTATCGAGTTTCGAATCTTAGTATATTCTTCCAAATATTACCTATTGAATAAGTGAGTTAAGCCTATGCAAGCACTTATGTATCTATCTTGAGTACACTAGTGGTGGATTTCTTGTTCTCTATAATTTTGCAGAATGGCTCCAACAAATGATAGTATGAATGGAGACTAAAAGCAACTTCAAGAGTGGCTTTTACAAGGTGTTTTCTAGGTGGAGGAAATAGGTGAAAGGAAAGAGAAGAGAAAAACACATTCAACAAATAATGATGTTTTGTGAAACCTATCAATAATAATAATAATAATAATAATAATAAAATAGTTGCAGCAAGTGCGCGTTAGGCGCACCTCTTGCATCCAACAGTCACAATTGCTCTTCTTTTTGTGTTCTTTTTCCCTATACCTCTTTCATAATTGACATTTTGAAAATTGGGGGAAAAAAAAAAAAACTCTAAGTGACGAAGATGCTCTAATACATTTTGGAAGTATAAGTGTGGATGCATTAATAAAATGTCAAGAGAATGAAGAAGAGATTGAGTATATATAAAATTTAGAATGCAGAAGGTCAAATAAGTCTATCTATTACTCATAAGTGTTCAATTAACTCATTATAGTTTAAAATAAGAGTTATTTTTCATCAAGTTGTCCGTTCATATTAAGTTGATATGGAAATTTAATTAAAAAAATATTGCTCACATGGAATTTATTAATGGAAGCATTTGAATAATTTGATAATATTCGTTGTTTTTGTCCCCTCTACATTTTTGAAAACGACATCAAACAACAAAGACAACATAAAAGTTGTGTATTTAATATATTGAGGGAATAAAGAAGAGGCAAAGAAGATAAAATCAAAAGCTTTTGAGGCTTGAGCTACGACCCAATAAGGACAATGGTTGACAGGTAAGTTACATATTTAGGCCTTGGCACCTTGTACTAGGGCCCCCCTCACCGGTGCCATCCTCCCAACTAGTGGAATATTGAGTCGGGTAAGAGAATGATTTACTTGAGTGTTTAAATTAGTAATCAGCTATCGGGCTAGGTTAGTTGCACCTCCACTGTTAATGGGTAGCTCATTCGCCGATGAGGTTAGTTGTCTCCCAAGTTAAAGATTGGACGCTAAGTATGACTTCCAAGTAACTTCGACTAGATTTGCTGATGGTAGCGTTTCCTCCGGTGGCTATGGTGCCAGTCAGACCTCTCACGTTCACCGTGTAGGCAACAGACCTTCATGAAATGGGCATACCCTTGCCTTGCCGGGTAAGGCGTTCCTGAGAGTACGTTGAACGTTTGCTTTGTGATTAAGTTATTTGGGCGTATCACGAGTTTGATTGCAGAAAAGAAAATTGTAAAACGGGTAGAAACTAGGAACGCGAGCTTTCCATAGCGTTCCCCATAGACAACACCAATGATGGTTTTGTTGGAGTCGAGTCCACTAGGGTAAAAAAAAAAATAGTAGTACTATGCTTGGTTTCTAAAGGGAGACAAGACCTACGTGTCTCCCACTAATTTGCTTCTAGCGCACTTTTCCATGCGCGCACACAGAGTCTACAACGCCTCTACTGAAGCTCGATCTCATGATCTCACATATGAAAGAGGTCACTACATCTCATCTAAGCACAATGTGCTTGACCTTAAAATATTTGTAAGTTAAATTTTTATGTGTTTCAAATTGAAAAATTACCTTTACTACTTAGTAGTTGTGATTTGTAAACTCATCCTTATTAATAGTACTATATTATTAATTATTGATTTCTTTATTTAAAATTAATTTAGAAGGAACACATAACTTCAATGTTACTGACTCTATTTATATTGTAGTATCTGTTTGAAGCACAAATAGTCAACTTCGCCTCCACTGAGACTCGATCTCATAACCACCCATGGGGAGAGTCTTACATGCTATCTGAGCACAAAGTGCTTGAAAAATTAATTGATATATACTTTTTAATATTTTTTTTATCTATTTTTTAGTTTTTAAGACCATAGACTGGACCGAACTTTAATTTGTATTTTTGGATCGAGCCAAACTTGATTCAAACTTTAATTGATATGGGCAACATGGTCCAAAAAAATAAATGAACTAGTGACAAACTGAATCGAGCCGGTTCAAACCCGTTCGTTTGACACCTCTATAAAATCAATCGTTATACCGTGCACCAGGGCGCACACTCCCAAAACGACGTCGTTTTGGACCTTTGGTGCATTGTCCAAACAAAATAAAGTATCTGTTTCGAATACACATAAACTCATAACAGAATACACAGAAACTCATAACTGAATACACATAATCTACACATGATACATAATACACAGAAATTCTTAACTAAATACACAAAAACTTTTAACTGAATACACAGAAACTCTTAACTAAATACACAAAAATTTGTAACTGAATACACAAAAACTTTTAACTGAATACACATAATGAAATTTTTACCGTTTGAACATACGGAGTGACGTCAGCAATTGAAACACACGCATTTTGTACCTGTGCGCACGATATAAATTGCCCTATAAAATTGACAGAACAATCATAATATTGGGGCAAAGTTTTAATAACTCAATATAAATTGCCCTATAAAATTGACAGAACAATCATAATATTGGGGCAAAGTTTTAATAACTCAAGAGTCCGGGCCCGTTGAGGCTCAAATGCTCAAAGCACTTTAAGGCGGTCGGATCCACATCTCAACCGTTAATGCTTTTAAAATCTGACGGATAGAAACCACGATCTGTGTGCTTGAATTCTATTGGTAGAGTTTGAAATCCCAAAGCCCTATATAAACACCAACCCTCTCTCCACCCACCCAACCAAAGTAACAGTATTTTGTTAACCGCTTGAATTTCACAGCGAATCCCTCTTTTGTACCCCTTCTTCAGTCGTAATACTAAAACAGCAATGGCGGGTCGTGGCAAAACCCTTGGTTCCGGTCCTGCCAAGAAGGCTCAGTCTCGTAGCAGCAAGGCCGGTCTCCAGTTCCCCGTCGGCCGTATCGCCCGTTTCCTCAAGGCCGGCAAGTACGCCGAGCGTGTCGGTGCCGGAGCTCCCGTCTATCTCGCCGCCGTCCTCGAATACCTTGCCGCTGAGGTATGAATAATTGAATATATCTCGACTCTTTACAACTACCGTCGTAGTTCTGGCTTCCAAATCCTAAAAGTATAGAAAGAATTTGCCTGGTTTAGGGGAATAAAATTGAATCTTCGTTTCTAGGGTTTCTAATTTTTCGGTTTGGTGGCTTCAGGTGCTTGAATTGGCTGGAAATGCTGCGAGGGACAACAAGAAGACTAGGATCGTGCCGAGGCACATCCAATTGGCTGTGAGGAACGATGAGGAGCTGAGCAAGCTTCTTGGAGATGTGACTATTGCCAATGGTGGTGTGATGCCGAACATTCACAATCTCTTGCTCCCGAAGAAGACTGGTGGCTCCTCAAAGCCCGTTGATGAGGATTAGATGGATCGAGGCCAGATTTTTGTCTTGTTTGGGTGGGGAGGAGGTGTTTATTTGATTTTCAAATAGCTGTGTTTTTTAGTATTTATAGAAATTAGGGTCTGACTTTTCATTTTGTTTCTTGTTGTTGTTAGGATTTCTTTTTGTTTTTGTGAATACAAATGGAATGGAAATTACTGAAGTTATTGTCTTCTCTATATTTGTCAATTGTCCCATAACATTGATGAACACCTACACCTATGGCAGTTTAATTATGCTAAACTGTCCCTGGCTTAATTTACAAGGGTTTGTTAGTTTGCTTTTACTTATTTATATTTAATTTAATTTCATATATGAAGATTGAAGTTTTTGCGTTTATATTGCTTTACTGGACATGCCGTGTGTAATGTTTATCTATCTTGATTGTTATAATTGAATGCTGGGTGGTGATGTGGTGTTCCTTCTGTGTAGTTTACTGAAAGATTTAGATGTACAGGTCAAAGTATTTGTACTAGACATAACCTTGGTATCTGATTCTTTGTTAATTAATTGTTTGATGAGAACTGTTTTCGAGTAATGTTATATCATCTCTATGGACAAGCTTGCTTTATGTAAAGAGTTGATGAAGCTGGTATTTTTCATCTCTTTCTGTCTCGACTCTTGAGATGGTGGCCAGTTACAGTAATGGAATATTCAATTGTGTAACTTTGTTCACTGATTTGAAATGCTTTTTAGTTTCAACATTTGATGATTCTCTGTTGATTTTATGGTTGAAATTTGATATTTGGAGTTCATAGTTTTCAAGGTAATACTTATTTAAACATTTTTGACTATCAATCTGCTTGGGTAGAGGGTGGGAAGGATTTTAAGAGTTTGGTGGTTTGCATTGAATGAGAGGATTTGTGTATAAAGGCAACCATTGCATCTAACCTGTCACCTGTGCATTATTTAAATGTCTTGAATAATAAGTTCGGTTAAATGCCTTGCCTGCCAGCATTATGGATAGTCTTGTTGGTTCCATTCCTTTTTTATTCACAGATGTGATTGTGCTTCATGTAGGCATTTGAGGTTTGGACTATCTATCAGCTGCTTTCAAACATGTTTTCTTGTTCCCTGAATTTCACTGCTGCAAGTTGAAGTTTCTGTGTCTTTAATTGTTCATCTATTTTGGATTTGTTATCAATTTCCCAATTTTTGGATTTCTAAATCATTTGGTCTAATTAATTACATGCTTTCGGGTACTTTAGTGGCACACTTGCTCCAGAATTGCAACTATGGACAATAAGATGAGAACTTTATGATAGTGTGAAGGCACAACCACTTGCTGCGAGGAACAATGAAGAGCATAGTAGCACTGCTTGGATATTGTGAGTTGACTATGGTGGTATAATGTTCCCAATAGACCAGGAGCCAGTTATGGCCTGCTGACATATCAGAGAAACAGCATATGTAAGCTCTGGTTTTTCTTCATTATCAGTGTCTCTAACCATCAATCCCCATTCTTGGCTATTAACATGATCTGGGCTGTGCTGTCACTGATTATTATGAAATAATAACTGGATGTATGCTTAAGCCAAAGTTTTGTATAGCTGTGCTTCAATTCATTACATATGGTGGTTGTTAGGGTGTCTATCAGCTTTATTACTTTTATTTGAATATAGATTAAGGAAAAAACGCGATAAAGGGTCAATTGCCCACCTGTGAGTGGACATGAGTTTTTTTTATTTGATGTGGGAGGAAGTAGGGTCTCTAGTGAAGTGTCATGGATGATCCATTATAGTAGGTTTTATGATCCTTGATTGCATGAGCACATGATTTATTAGTTTGAGGTTTAAGGGTGTGTTCAGGTAGAGGGAAATGTTTTGGAAAAACAGAGTTCGTACTCGAGTTTGAAATGGCATTCTTCAAAAGTAAAACAATTTGAAACAAAATTTTCATTTCTCTTAACAAAGTTGTGTTTGATTTATTTTATTTTATTTTTTTAATTATAACCTTTGGTTGTTGATTGATTTACTAGATAGAGCTAGACATACAATTGGCAGTATCTTGATAATAAATAATGTTTTAGTTGGCTGGCTCTTTTTTGGTTTTTCAGTGTGCGATTGTTCCTTGTTAATTACTAGGGAAAGGGAACACCTTTACCCCTAAGCATAATATGCCCATTGAAATATTATGACACTATGTTTCAATATAGCACCAATCATTTCAAAAGTGTTGAACCCACAAAATCATGCTCTGCAACTTAATATTCTTGTTGGCTCCAATATGTGTTGTTAAGGATGGAGCCTTGAGGGGAAGCAAGAAAAACAAAATCAAAAAAGGAGGCAAAGAATATAATCAGATCATCTACAAGTTGCTGGTGAAAAAGTCATCATTTCTTTCAAGACATGGCTAGGATTGCTAAATAATGGCCAGACTACCTTGCTTAATTACACAATCAAATAAACAATTAAAAACAAAATTAAGAATTACAAGGGGGAGAGGATATGCCAAGTTAATTTTTCTACCTATTGCAGCAAAAGACCTGAAGACCGCAATCTTACAGTTGCAGATCATCCTCGTACCACAGAAGTTTGTCGTGCAACGAATCAAAGATCATACCCATCTTTTTACCTGCTCCTACATCTCTGCACTCACTTAAAATAGAATGAACCAAGTAAATGTTTAAACACAGGGTTCTGACACTGATTATAACATAATACCTCAAATTATTGCAGATCAGAGTGTGACCAACCACTAAAATAGGTCAGGAGTCAGGACTTGCACACTTGATATAGCTATGCCTCATCATCAGAGCTGGAACTGTCATATCGCCTATCAGTGATTGCTGGAAAAAGTTTATGACGAGGATCGGGAGGAGGAGATTGTCGTGGTTCTGAAGAAGCAACTGCCATATTCTCTTTCCGTGGAGTCCATTTTGTCTTCATTTTTGCAGCGCCAACTTCTCTGCATACCTTATCTAGTATTATCAGAAAATCACGAACTATAACAAATAACCGCAGGCCTTCATCCTTCCCAGCATTTCCATGGAAGTAATCACCGGTGCTCTTAACTAGAGACATGATCCGCTTCTCTTCTTCAAGCAACCACATCACATCAACTTCAGCATTCTGCACAAAATTCTTTAGTGTCTGGATAAACCCATCGTCTTCACCCACTTGGTCCGTCACTGAATTTAGGAAACTCTTGGCTTTTACTAACGCACGACCAAGACTGGCAACTGTTGTTGTTAAGCTATCCGCATCTAGCACTGCAGCATTCTTCACATGCTCAAGCTCATTACCTAAACCTGACACAACTTGTAGACCAAGGGTTCGATGATACTCTTCCAAATCCTGGGATGGCTCATCAGTCGTGGCACCTGCAGCTCGTACGCCTTCAGAGCGGATTATCTCCTGAACAACAAAGTGCAACAGTGTAATCTTTCCATCTGTCCCTTTCACATCTGATAACTTTAGTAGTGTGTCAAGTTTGAATGCCTGTGCACCACCACGGTATGTTCCATCATTCATGCGATTTCCTGTTTTTAGAACTGCCTCTAGCAGTTTGAGAAACAGCCTGCTTTTGCGGAGTTCTGTGCAAGCAGCCTGGGTAAAGGATAAACAAGAAACAAAATGTTGAAATTTTCCAGGTAACAGAATGCAAAATGAAGTCAACTACTGTCAAATCTAAAACTGATAGCATAAAGGTCAGATGATGTGGTTTATGGAATCTATACTAATGATATTCCCTTTCAAAAGCACTTCCTAGTTACTAACCAGTGTAATGTTTCTTGACTATCAAGAAAATGAAGCTGTAATTATCACTTAGGATATTAAAAAATGGCGAGAAGGAGTTTGGCAATAAGTGCACAGTCGAACAGGAAAATAGCAAATGATTTATCAGGTTTTAGTCTTGGTTTTGATAGGGAGATCTGCAAGGCATGATAGATGTCAAGTAGATGACAATTGATTGAAGATGAACATGATAGTATCAGGAGTCCAGGAGAAACGAATAAAAGAGATTAGATACACTGATACTCTTGCCTATTTTGTGCTAAAGGAATCCAGTGGTCAAGAAAAATAATATCTACCTCCAAGGTTGCAAATGATTCTTTAACCATGGATGCCTCCTCCTGAAAGGTGCACATAAAAAGCAATGATTCCAGCCTCTTGAAGGCAAATGGAACGTCAACTAGGACTTTCAGAAACCGCTCAGCATGCCCAAGTCGAGAAAGCTCTCCATTATAGAGCCTCAGCTTCAGCTCTTCCTCAGATGTTGGTGTCATCTTCAGCAAAGTTTGAAGCAATTCTGATGGAAGCTCATGTCCTAATTAAATTTAAAAAAAAGGGTAGCCATTTATGAAGTTAGCAAATAATACTCGATTCCAAATTTCAAGAATCCTTCTTTTTTTTTAAGATGGTAGGTAGCTGATAATCAAAGTTCAAACAACAAATGCTTAAATCTTTAATTGAAAGGCTCAGAGCCAGTGGTAGCATGAGCCTTTCCCCAGTGATACTAATTATTCTCTTTCTCTCTCTCTCTCTCTCTCTCTCTCTCTCTCTCTCTATATATATATATATATATATATATATATATATATATATATATATATATAGGGTTGAGTTCAAATGAGGACAACAATATATAGAGGATTGTGATGACAAATAATGGGCACACAACAAATTAATATCATGCACACAACTTAATACATAATGGCACACAAGAATAAATGTAAACATCAGGTTTCGAACCCAGGCTTTATAAATTAATAAATCTAGCACGCGACATACAAACTGTGGCACACGACTACATTCGGTCATGCACACAACATACCGACTAATGGCACACACTACATCTGTCCTCACAGTCCTCTATAATATACTTGTCCTCATTTGAATACACATCTATATATATATATATATATATATATATATATATATATATATATATATATATATATAGAGAGAGAGAGAGAGAGAGAGAGAGAGAGGTAGCAAATAAATATGTGGAGTAATAATCTTTTTTCCTGCAATACATTAAAAGATGAAACATCTTCTATTTTCATGCAGCATTTATCTCATAAAAAGGGAAACATAATCACCTTCCTTAAGAGCATCACAAACTTCTTCAGTTGTCACATTTAAAGCTTTTAGAATAATTGCTAAGTTCTGTGCCTTCTTTTGATCAATAATTTGAATATACTGGTTAGAAGCATCTTGCAATGGATTGTCTTTCTTGGTCTCCTTCTTGTTTTTATCAGAAGAAGCATAACCAAATAGACTCTCTATCATCTCTTCATTAAACCTGTTCCCAAAAAAAAGAAATAATAATAAAATAAAAGTAAACAAACAAAATCAAAGAAAAAGAAAAGAGAGCAACATCACTTTGTGTATTGGCCATGTTAGTATACAAAAAACTTAAGCATCAATGAAATAAAATTTTAAAAGGCCTTACTGGAAGGATCCTGATTTTATCTGATGCCAAACCATTGAGTGGTCAGGGTTGGCTAGGACCTTGTCCCAGAAGAAAGGCTTCAACTTTGTTTTTGGACCATCGGCCGCTCCCTCTCCAGTAGCACTTGTTGAAGAATGACTTTGTCGAACAGGTGGTGGCTGAGGTGGCTTCAAGCCCATAGGAGCTGGCGGTGGTGGTGGACGTGGACCAGCCTTACCAGAAGGTACAGGAGGTGGTGGTGGCCCAGGTGGGGAAGGACGTGGGCCGCCAGTGGACGGCCTTAGTGGTAAAGGGGGAGGAGCGGGAGCTGAAGGAGGGGGAACCGTGGGAGCTGCTTTAGCTGGAGGAGTGGGAGGCACGAGGGCTGTTTTAGCCGGAGAAGGGGAAACAGGAAGCCCTACTTTGGCTGATGGAGCCACAGGGGGATTTACCCTCCCAGGGGGAGGCTTCAGTGGAGGTAGCCCAGCCATGCCCAACTGTCCAGGTGCTGATTGTCCAGAAACCGCTACTGAGGTGACAGCAGCAGAGGAAACAGCTCCTAATGGAACCTCCATTTTAGAGGTACTGGATGTCTGGGGTTCCATGAAGGAATTGCCACTGAAGTGGTGATTCGTGGAGAAATTGCCTCCAGACAGGTGATTAAGTGAATGGTTACCAGCTTTTTCATTGTTCAATGAATTTCCTGAAGCAAACGATTTCCCTGAACAGTCCGAAACTTGAAGTAGAAAAAATAATTTAATAAAGTAGAACACAAGTCAGTTTAAAATATGTGAAGAAAATGAACAAGATTTTACCAATAGGGTAGTCACTTAAGCTTAAGCACAATAGAGGCCTCTCATCATTTTGTCCCTTTCTGGATCCACCCTTGCAAACCTTGTAATAGCATAAAAGCAGTAGGGCAACCACAAATAGTGTCACTGTAGCAGTCACAGTAACAGCGACAACCACTGTTCTGTGCTTGCTAGTTTGCTCTTCTGATAGCGCACCTGAAGTAGAAGGCTCACTAGCTACAGGTTGCAGGCTTGAACTGTTAGAAGGTGGAAAGAATGGCACTATTGGAGCCTTTGGAGGCAAAGTGGGTGGTTGAGAATCAGAAATTGGACCAGGTGATGCTTCTATGGGGGCCGGTGCAGGTGCTTCTCCAGAGTTCTGAACTAATTCTCGTCGTTTGGGAGTATCAAGCCTAGCAAATAAAAAATCCAAAAACCACGTATACCAAGTTTTTGAGCCCGTTTCCTCCCCAGAGACAAGAAATTCAAGATTGTTCTTCTGTAAACAATCCAGAAGGGTTTGTTTCACCAGTGGATGCACAAGACTCTCATATTTCTGCATGTCTGTTTTGGTCGGTTGCCTTCTTCTAGAAATGATTTCATTCTTCCCACTGTACTGTCCCTCTTGGACAAAAAGTTCAAGATCTTCAACTGCTTCCTTGGCATTTATCAACTCTATCCTACAGTTTAGCCATACTAGCTCAGCCTGTAGCAAGATACTTTTGTCAAATTACCATACATTTATGCTTTTACCAAACATATACAGGGGGTAAGTCCTTCCAGAAACCATTTTACTAGCAATTATAAGAAAAATGACACAGTAAACATATTTATGTTATCCTTTTTCTCTCTTATAAACTCCTTAGCCAACAAGTTTAAAGTTTAAAGTGATCCGTTCAAAGATGTGCAATATATTCAAGTACAACTTAGTTCCCAAAACCACTTCTCTATGTCCTGTGAAAATCAGTATGCACTTTCTCTCTAGGGAAAGCGGGAGTACGCAAAATAACAACATAGAGTACCCATTTGTTTACATATTTTTTCCAGTTCAAAATGGATTTTTCAGTTTAACTAAAAAAACAAAATACCATTAAACTACCAAACTCCATCTTTTCTTAGATGAATTCTTATAAATGCCTAGAAACCCTTTTTTACCCATTCACTGAAACAATGCACAGAATTCACCCATGCCATGGCAAATTAGGAGTCAAATGATTTCTTTAGTTTTTAGAAGCTTGCTAGGTTTTTAGATGAAGAAATATTTACAGAATGACAAGAGCAACATGCATATTCTTTAGGTGATTATTCACCAATCACCATCGTTGGTAACAGGTTTGGGCAAATTGAGTATGCCCAAACAAACATCTCGACACTACCATCTTCCCAGCTTACTTAATCTAGTATCACAGAAAACAGCTTCTAGTGCCAGTCTAAAGCGCAGGTTGGCAAGTATTTAGCCTCCTAATATGTATCATTTATCACCTAAACCATCTTCTCACCTTATCCTTCCACCCCTTAGCACGCATTTTGGAATTTCTTATGCATTTGAATACATGAGTGGTTAGCATTAAATGGAATTTATGCTCGGTAGTCATAGATCAGATTCCAGAAGAAGAAGAAGCAGTATTATACACACAACAGACTAAAAAAGAATAACTATGCATAATATTATTGTCTACTTAGCTAAGATAATCTCACTTATTCTCCTAAATAATGATAATATATCTCACAATGCTGACCAAGTAGTAAATACAAAATATTAGGAAAATTCTACAATATCATGCAACACCATGGCATTGTTACATGATGACACCTCCTTGTGCTTGAAAAGTTGTGACCATCCCCTTAGTATTTTTAGCAAAGCAAGAAGTACAACTCTACAAACAGCTTCAAACTACCATCTTCCCAAGTAAAACAGTTTCTTGTGCCAGTTTAAAGCACAACTTGGCCAGTATTAGCCTCCCGATATGCATCATTTACCACCTAAACCATCTTCTCACCTTATCTTCCACCCCTTAACAGGAAAAAAAGGGATTATTGGCGTAATGCCCAATTCTACTAGAGTCTAGAGGGGTTTTAAGTTGAAATAAATAAAGGACACCAAGGAGATTTGAACCCAGGACTTTGAGAATTAAGATGTTATTATGCTAAGGAATTCTTTTCCAGTTGCCCATTCTCTCATTCACCAGGACAATAAATACTTGGGAAGTTAAAGGAATAAAGGCAAACATGAAAGGAACTTTATAAGCTCTGAGCCTCAAAGGTCAAGGCGGCGGCTTTGTTATCAGAATTCTTATCTATAAATCCTATTTCTAAAATTGAGATGACGCAACTTGGTCTGCAATGCTAAATTTGTGGTAAATGCTGCTAAATAAGTGCAATTGGCAATCAATGCCATATAAACCAACAGAAGCATCCAAAGAAAACTAGACAAGCAGTAATTTCAAAAGGCCACAACTCACAAGCTCAATTCTAAATACACAAAGATAGAAAAATTAAGTAAAGAACATCCATACCTCATCATGATTTATATCCCCTGAGTTGATTAGACTGGCTAATAAATCTTCTTCTGGCCTCTTGGTCTCTTGACTTGCTCCTTCCAAAGTGACAATCAGAATCACAGACAAAACTAACAGAAGTACTCTGTGAATACACATTTGGTCTTGAATCAACTTCCAAATCCCACTCAATGCTTTTCATCGATCATCAGAAAAATCAATCCCAAGAATCCTAGAAAACCCTAAACCTCAGGTCTTCTCACAGATAACCACCAAACAGAAATATATGTCCAATAAGCAACAACTACAGATGCCTCAATCCTGTTTTCAAAAAAAAAAAAACAGATGCCTCAATCCTAGACTCTTCATAAGAAACCTTTGCGACCCACTGCTAAATTTCAACTAAAAATCAAATTGTGTAGTCAACCCCGCACCCCAAAATATCCTTTTCTCTCGTGAAATTCTAAACTTCGGAATCAAAAAGCCAAAAATGGAATGCGCAGGATGAGAATAACTCCAACAAACTGGATCGAACAAAACTTGCCTACCCACACAACCAATAAAAACCCCTTGTTTGACTCAAAAGTCGTCCAGTTGGATATATCTGAGCATGAACAGATCATTAAACAAAATAAGCTCCCTAAGCATAAACTTTGAATTAAAGGAAATAGCAAATAGCGACGCAGTCAAGAACAGGGGTTTGCTAGACCGCGTAAGTTGACCAAGACAAGTCCTTTCCGGGGCAAATTCGCCTTTCTGGAAGCTGACAAAAGTTTAAGATCATACCCCATGGGCCATGGCCTTCCTTCTAGTTCAAAATCTGCTTCTTTTTTTTTTTTTTTTTTTTTTTTTTATTTTCACTGTGTTACTGTAATTTATCTTCTTTTATATATTTTGTTGAGTCAAAATATAAATTTTTTTAAATTGAAAATTTAACATTTTAAAAGAATAAAGAGAATTAGTGCTTAGGATTTACAAAATGCTTGTTATATTTAGTATAACTTTCATATTATAACCGTCAAGACTCGATCATGTATTTTTGTTATATAATTTGTCATTCAAAATTTAATTGAACTATTCGTGTGAATTTTTGTGTTATATTTTTTAAGAATGGACAAATCAACCTTTTTAAATAAAGAATTTTAATAAAAAGTATTATTTATATAACATAAATTTTATTTGTTAAAATTAAATAAAATATTATAATTCAATTATGAATAATTTGGATTGAATCTAATTATTTATTTGAGACGTTTTCGTGACGGTGGAAGCATTTCATGTTTGTTTGTTTGTGCTTTTTTTTGAGTATTCCGTAATAAATGAGTGGACAGTCTGTTGAAGACAATAAATCTCTGTTCATTCCTATTTGCAATTTGGTCCTTCCATTATAATATAATTAAAAGTAAGGACTACAGTGAAATTTGCTGCCTTGCTTATTCAATTTGCCTTTTTATGAAATTCATACAATGTATAAGAGCGTCGTCAGCTATGTATTTTACACAGTTTTTGAAGTTATATTGTATTTGGATTGAATATTAGTTGTTTGGTTGCATCATCATTTAAATGTCCCGGCATATATTGGGATGAATTGTTATAGCAAAGACTTTGATGAACTCTACAATATGTATTTCTAAATTTTACTCCTTTAATTTTATTTCTTAATATGACGGGTAACCATTAAAATGATCCAATCAAACTACATGTTATGATTAAAATGATTCAATTATTTTAACAGCTCCAATTCCACCGTTAATTGAAAAGAATCCATGGCCACTTTATATTCCTATAAAAATTCATCAAGGAAAGAGAAAGAAAATCTTCCACATAGTAAAATGGTGTTTAATTTAGGAAAATAGTACTCTTATTTTATACTTTCAATTTTCACACATAAAATATTGATATAGACACTTGTATTGTGACCCACATAATAAAAATAACTCATCAAAATTTGTCACATCAAAAAATAAAATTAATGAGTAAGATCTGAGAATACATGAAGTATAAATATAACTATTTAATGAATTGAAATGGATTCCGCCCATACGTGTTCCTATCTAATGCCAGTCCAGTTGAGGCTTTTAGACTAAGTGGATATGCAGATTCGATGCCACACTGAACCATGCATACCACTGCCACCTATTCTGCTTTTATCTTCTTCCATCCCATCTCCACATTTACATTTATAAAACACCAAAACAAAAAAGTTGATGCTACTACCAGAACAATTCATGTACTTTCAAAGTATTCCTTTCACACACTGTATGTTATTGCGTTGCAGTACTTGAGAGTGTACATTGGGTAAACATTATTTTGTGACCGTAGCTGGTAAAGAACAATATAAAGATAAACCAATTTAGGTTGTCTATTATTAACCCCATCTTGGTTGAGGTTAGTCCCAGTCTATTTTTAGTTATCATGTAAAATTTGAGCCAGACAATTCTAGCCAAGTTGCATGTTGATTTAATAACCACAAGTTACAAGTTTTACTCCCAGCAAGAATGGCCATATTAGAATGTGAAATTTGCTTAGTGCACACTTTCGAGTAGTGGTTGAGGGTGTTAGGGCTAAATATTCTTTAATCTTTACAGCCGGCCTTCCAATGTCTCCACGAGAATTTGTTCCTTCTGTATAGCCATTTCTCGACCGGAACTATAAAGAACCACCCAAACTCAAATTCTCTTCAGCAGAGCTCTAATCTGCAGCTTAAAATTTTCCCAACGGGGCGAATTGAATGACAAGCTACAAACAGCTTGAGGTTGGATTTGAAGATCCAAATCCGCGGAAATGGTGCGTGCCGCTAAAGGAAGACGCGTTTGCCAGCTTAATGGAGAAGGGGAATAACGCAACCGCGGCGGCGCAGAAGGTCTTCTCCCAAGGCTCACTCTTCAGTCCGTTTCTGTTCGGGAAATTCTTCGATCCTTCCGACGCTTTCCCGCTATGGGAGTTCGAATCGGACGTTCTGTTGGCCAATCTCCGCTGCTCAAATCACTGCACCGTCGATTGGCTCCAAACGGAAACAGACTACATACTCAAATCAGAACTACCAGGTAGGTAGGTAGGGTAGCGGAGATTCGAACTCGATCGAACTTGAACTCATGAACTTTTGCTTGCTCTGATTCCAAATTGATCGGCGGTGTTTGATTTGTCAGTGACAGGAGTTCAGATCTGCGTAGCAAACCGGAAAGTGTTGGAAATCAGCGGCCTGTGGAGGCAGGTCCGAGAAGCTAGGTCGAGCAACGACTGGAGAAGCGGCCATTGGTGGGAACAGGGATACGTGCGGAGGATCGAACTCCCTGAAAACGCAGATTGGAGGAAAACAGAGGCGAGCATAAACAACGACATATTTTTGCAGATAAGAGTGCCAAAGGCTCCTCCCAATTCCGAAATCGGCCGAGGAAGCAACGGAGCGGCAAAAGACTCATCAGAGATCGCTTAGTATGTATCTGCAGATTACACATGCATGAATGCATACAGATATGTATATTATATTCTTGTTTTGACATGATCAGCTTATTCACCACGCAGATCGAATACAATCCTAGCCTGCAGAGACATATTCTTACGCATATATTTCACAAGAAACGAGCATGTGTTGGCTCTGTTACCAAATTGAAGTAATGTGTTTAAAAATCTAAACTGATAGTTGGACTGTACACATATAAGCTTTGGGATTGCAGAGGCCATAGTAAATTTGAAAGCACAGGCTCAGTACATTTGACAAGCAAAAACACAACTTTTTGCCATTGGAAATTTGGAATACATCTATAATTACTTCATAGATTTGACTTCAAAACTAGTGTTGAGGATCTTAGGCCATTTACTCATCACTTCCTGGAGAAGAACTAGAGTGCCTTCGTATCGCGATTCCGTTAGAGACAGGTTCCTCTTCTTCACAGCATCCTCAAGCTGCCAATAAACACACAATTAAGCCCATATCATAAACTTAATTGCTGCTAAAATGTCTGTTAACATACCTCTTCAATGTTGTCAAATAATCTGTTGGCGAGGTCTGTGAGGGGCTGCTTTTCATTTGCTTCAGCGGTGGAGATTACCTTGTCGAAATCGAAGTACATGAAGGTAGCCTTGATGCGCAGATATCTGAGAACATAGCTCCAAGCATCAGAGCCAATTAGATCCCCCAAAGCCATAAGATCAAAGGCGCACTTGTTTAGCCTGTACATGCTCCCTTTCGTTCCAATATTCGCAATGTACATCTGATTCTTAACAAACGACCGAGTCCCAGTCTCTTTATTCCTGATATCTACACGCCAAAACATCAGATTTTTCTGTGCACTGTCACATATAAATCTAGAATAAAAAATGGAACTAACTCAAATAATTTGATTGAACTGAATGACTAAAAGTTGTTGGTTTATCAACAATATTGTTGAGTAAGGGCAAGTCCATCCCCAGGTGACTAGGAGATGGTTGGACGGCTGAAAGGTGATGCGGGTACAAAAAAAATAAAGTTGTCTCTTCGCTACTAGTTGTAATAGTAAATACTTATTATTGATAGTGGTAGGCATTTGATCCTAATAAAGTAGTATCAAAACACAGGTTAGGGACTAATCTATCGCTGCTACGAGGTTAGGTTTATAGTAATTAAGTTTTGAATGTGTTATTTGCAAATGGTTTTCAAAAAAATTAGTGGTTTTACCGCTTGTGACGGTAGGGATTGGTAAAGGGCCGGTGAGCCAAAAGCCATTATCCTCGGCAAGAGACTTCCCTATGCCGGAGCTTCCGAAAACTGCGATTGAAGCAAGGCCTACTGCTAATCTTCTTTTGGTGACTTCTGGTAGTGGTTGGTTTTCTTGAATCTCCGGCGCCTTCTTATCGGCAAAGTGGATCGCCGCCGCCCTCTTCCGCCTTGCCGTGCCGCCGTGAAGCTTGGGATTGAGGGATAGAGCCTCGAGTATGAGGTTGAGATTTGGTATGGCAGCCATGGCTAGCTGGTTTTCAAACTCTGTATGCACTTTTTCAGTTATATCCGTTTGAAGTGAGCTGCTTCCTGCTGGCCACCAAAAGGATATCCTAATTGAGGGTAAACTAGTAATTCGGAAATTCCATATTTCTAATAATCTATATATATATATATATATATATATATATATATATATATATATATATATATATATATATATAAGTAAAATCATTCTAACAAATTTTCCCCCCAAAACTTTTGTAGTAAAGTTTATTTGGTAAGTAAATGTCAAATGGAAATTAAATAAAATCTATTAATTGTTATATTACATAATTGGTAATATTATGTATGATATTATATTCTATAATATAATTGAAAATATTATTGTTCAAGTATAATAAAAATCTTATGAAATAATGTAAGCATAATAAAATAATAATAATAATAATAATAATAATAATATAAAAATCATATAAATTTTCCCCCAAAACTTAGCGGCGTTTATATAATATCCTAATTTTTTAATTTAATTAATTATCAAAATATTGAAATTATATATTATATATTATTCATTTATGTGTAGACATACTTATTACTGTATATAAAGTAAATTAGGTAAATATATTCTTCAAATATAAATTAAGTATCTATATATAATTTTTTGGTAAGCAAATGTAAAATGATAACTCTAATTTTAATTGGTAATTGGTAATTGGTAATATAATAAAAACCATAAATGTTACCCTTAATCATATCGAAACACCTATATATACATCACATTCTCTTCAATACAAACAGTACCAAGTTACAAAGAACCTAAGGAAATATTCTCTGCAACTGCATAGCAATGGTGTAGAGAACAGGGACCTTCAAGAAGAGGAGGAACAAGACCCATATTCTTTGCGTATCCAGAAGAGCTGTTGCACTACGCCTACACATTTTGATAAATCTCTGTATCCTTTTTCAACTCTTTTTTTTTTTAATAAAGAATAGAAAATCATATATACCATTGGTGAAATTTAAAATCTATCTACATATATTATATAAACTATGATTATATTGATCATATATATCATCTTCTTCATCATCAATCTGGACGAGTTTGCTCAACCCATTTAAAGGTATTTCTCTAATACCTTATCTCAATCCATTAAAAGTTGTTTATTATTGGACTCTGGGCAGGATTAAATAATGCACTATTCATAGTGATAGAAAAAAAACTGACCATTTGATTATTAGTGGACTATGAGCAACTAGATCTGCAGGTCATTTGCATGAGAGGGGACATCATTGAATGAGTTTGGACTATTAATATTTTTTTTCCTGATGTGACGATCCTTCCAGCACCAATAGGAGTAACACAAGGATTTGGAGCCATGGCAATGTGTTGAGGATCATGAGTAGTGCTCCTTGACAAAAGCCTAAAGCAACAGCATATGAATATGATAGAGATTTAATTATTTTAATTTTTATTTGATAAAGATTATTCTCTAACCAAACAATTAGTAATATTTACGATTTATTGAACCAACCTTCATATTTTTGGTCAAATGAGTATACATGATGGAATGGGAAGTTCTATTTATACCACCCATTTTGCTATTTACACCCCCCCTATTTAATAGGTGTAATAGCTTTATAGGTGGTGCAAATAAAAAAGTGCTTTTTGCACCACCTCATTAAATGTAGTCAAACATTAATCTTTATTTTTTATTTTTATTTAATAATCAATCTCTTTTTTTTATTATTATTATTATATTATTATTATTATTATTATTATTATTATTATTATTATTATTATTATTATGTTTTAATGCATAATTATTTTGTTCAATATTTTTTAAAATTTTTATTTTTAATACATATTTTTTTTAAATTTCTATTTTCAATACATCTTTTTTTTTGTTCGATACATTTTTTTTAAGTTTATATTTTCAATACTTATTTTTGTTTATGTTTTAATTTTAAATAAAGAGAAATAATAATTAATTTTGTTATTTTAATTTTTTTATAACTCAAATTTGTTGTATATATTATTTTAAATTGATTTAACTATAAATTGAAATATAAAATGATTACTAGTGATATTTGAAATAAATAAATATAAATTGATTTTCTACCTATCTTTTATAAAGATATATGTGGGTTAGAGTTCTAACAATTTTAATGTAGTTAAAATTCTATAAAGATATGTGGGTTATAGTTCTATTGAGACTTTGAAATATAAATTGATTTTCTACTTATCTTTTTATACTGTAAATACTGTAACAATTTTATAAAGATATATGGGTTAGAGTTCTAACAATTTTGATGTAGTTAAAATTCTAATCATAAAATAAGTGGAGGTCAAAGGCTTCTAATCATAAAATAAGTCTACTGCATGTGTTCCTACACTCTTTCTATTTTGAATTTTGTATTTATGGTCGTTCTTCCGTCTCTGTAAAATAGTTTCCTACAATTGTGTATTCTTTGTAGTATATGTTGCTCTATGTACTCAATATTACTCAATAAATTGATTTTCTACCTATCTTTTTTATATTGTATTACTGTAAATACAATAAATTGATTAATTTACAACTCTATTCACAACAAATTAAATTAATTCAGTATATAGATAGACTCACAAGTCACCCAATAAATAAAATCACAAATTCAGTACTCTTTATACTATAATTTTCTCTCTTGAAATGGAACAATGAGATTGTTATTTAGTCAATTGAGAAATTATATCTAATTTAAATGAGTCCTAATTACCTAGCAAGGAAGAACAAACTGGCTTAAAATACAAATAGCAACACTCATAGAAATAAATAACAATTCAAATAACAACTTAAAATACCAGGACTATGTGGTCCAATGGTACCCGGGTTGGACTTCCATTTAGAAGGTTGTGAGTTCGAACCTCAGTGGATGTATTATTAGCTCTTTGTGTTTCAGTAGGTTGAGAAAGTATATGAACAGATACTACAATGTAATAGAGCTAGTAGCATTCAAAATGACTTATAGATTGTGTGATACATAGGCTCTGTTTACATTAGTTTGTTTACATATTAAAATTTAACATTTTGTCTTTAAATTAATTAAGAGAAATAATTTTATTAGTTATATTGTCTTTATTTTTCTCCAATGTAAAAATTCTTTACATTCAGATTTATTAATTGATTATATTCACTACATTGTCTATTATCTTTTTTTTGTGCACTGTTTTTTAATTAAATATCAAAGTTATAATATAAGTAATGTTATATGTTTATTTACCAAGTATTTTATTAATACCATGAAAAATTTTAAAAAATATAATTAATAAAGCCAATCATATTAACTACTTGAGGGATTTGTTGACAAAGAAAGTATTCAAATCACACAACAAATTGAAGTGAGAACTACGTCACGATATCCTTGTTTGACAATCAGCAGTTAGCGGTTAGCGTTAGCGGATTTGACCAGCGAATTATATCAACGGTTGGTAAAAAGATATTTGAATTATAATATTTGCGGTGAAAGTTGCAGATAAATTAAAAGAGAAGAGAAAAAAGTTTTAATTGAGAAGGGTAAATTATGTCATTTCTTTAAAATAATAAGGATAAAGATGGAAAAAAAGTTAGGAAGCTAGGA